GGACATTCACAGAGTTGTCCCTAAGCCACTGCTGTATTTTCTTGGCTGTGTGCTTAGGATTATTGCAATATTGGAAAATGAACCTTCGGCCCAGTCTGAGGTCCTGAGTGCTTTGGAACAAGTTTTCATTGAGGATATCCCTCTATTTTGCTTCATTCAGCTTTCCCACAATCCTGACCAGTCTCCCAGTCCCTGCTGCTGAAAAACAGTTTCACAGCATAATGCTGCCACCTCCATGCTTCACTATTGAGATGATATTGGACAGGTGATGAGTGGGGCCTTGTTTCCTTCACACATAACATTTAGAATTGAGGCCAAATTGTTCAATCTTGGTTTCGTCAGTACAGAGAATCTTGCTGATCACAGTCTGAGAGTCCTTCAGGTGCTTTTTTGCAAATTCCAAGTATGCTTTCATGTGTTTTGCACTGAGGAGATGTTTCTGTCTAGCCACTCTGCCATAAAGAGCAGATTGGTGGAAAGCTGCAGTGATAGTTGTCCTTTTGGAACTCTGTAGCATCTCTATACAGGATCTCTGGAGCTGAATCAGAGTGGCCATCAGGTTCTTGGTCACTTCTCTTACCAAGGCCCTTCATCCCTGATTGGTCAGTTTGAGTGGGCAACCACTTCTTGGAAGAATTCTGGCTGTGCCAAACCTCTTCCATTTGAGAATTATGGAGGCCACTGTGTTCCATTCCAGTCCAGCAGAAATTTTATTGTAGCCTTTTCCAGATCTGTGCCTTGCAATAATCCTGTTTCTGGGCTCAGCAGGGAGTTATTGTGACCTCATGGCTTTTTTTCTGATACAGTATGCATTGTCAGATGTGTGGGCTTAGAGAGGTGTATGCCTTTTCAAATCACAAATCGCTCAATCAGTTTAATTTACCAAGGTGGACTACAATCAAGGTGTGGAAACCTAACAGCAATAATCTGAGTTAAATTTCAAGTGTTGTTGCAAAGGGTCTGAATATTTACGTCAATGTAACATCTCGGATTTTTTTTTCTTTTTAATAAATTTACAGACTTTTCTAAAATTCTGTTATGGGGTATGAGTGTAGATTATTGGTAAAAAAAATGAATGTCAACAACTGTAGAATCAGGCTGCAGCATAACAAAATGAAGGGGGTCTGAATGCAATGGGTACTTGATGTATTGAGTTGAAAGAAGATATAGTGGAAACAGCTTAGCAGAAAGAAACTATGTAATTCTGCTTTTTAGGAGACATTTGTTGCTACCAGATATCAACTTAATTTCAAGTGGCACTTTCTGCTTTCAAGCTGTTCAGTACAAAAGAAACTTGAAAATAGCTGGATGTGATAACAGTGGGTAGCAATGCAGCTTAATTATTCTGGCAGCAGGTTTCTACATAGGTAAAATCATCAACATAGAAACAAGAGAGGAAAAATTAGTAAGGTTTCAACAGTGTTGCTGGATAATGCTAGAGCAGCTTACACAAGTAAAAGCAGAGTAACTGCGTGCCTTTGCAAATGTGTTTGCTTTCTGTTGGCACTGTTGCACAAAGAAGCTAATTTTTTGGCCATTCCCTGACAGAATTTTACCATTCTGTAGAATTATCAAATAATAAACCTTTATATTTCATGTTGCTTTTTAATACCTGGAATGTTATTTTTTTCCATAAAATTTATAACAACCAGATCATTTTTCTAACATTTATGTGTGAAAAATATTTTAAGCCGTACATAAAACTATGTTCTCCATACAGTGATTCTTTTTAACAGCCAAACTAGAACCAATTGAAGCAACTATTTTGTTCTTTTTTAAAAAAACCACAGTTAAGTACATAGCCCATTCCAGAGTCAACTTTTGGGGGAAGGGGGCAATTGGAAAACATAAAATAGACTATTATCAAAGATTGAGATTGTTAAGCCTAAGTGACAAGAGAGGTATTTGATGAAGGCACTTTTATTATGCAATATGACTCTAAAGGAAACCTCTATGTACAAAAGTTATCTCATTCTGCTGCCTACTTCTATAAAGAGATTAGTAGAGTGGTAAAAAAATAAATGTTACAGAGGTCATAAAAATGCTTCCCTCTCTCTCCTTTTTTAGTTTCAGTTTTTGAAAACTTAAGTGAAAAAAGTTTACATGCCAATAATATAAGTACCTGCAAGGCTGACCAGAACAGAAATTTCATTTTGATCATTGACCAATACAACATATATTCTTTAAAACAAACAAAAATAAATTATCCTCTGGGGCAGTGCTCATCTCTGTTTCTTAACCAAGGAAGTCAATGTTGTCTGAAGATGCTTCTGTAGTCATGTGGTTGGCATGACTATATGACAAGACCCACAGAATAACTGTTGGCAATTTATTTCTCTGAAAGCAGCAAAGTTTTGCTACAGTGTGTGTATCCCTTACCTGTATGCAGTTGCCAAAAGTTAATAATGTCAGGAGATAATTTTGTTTGTTTTATAAAATGTATTTTTGTTGCTCACTGACCAAAATGACCAAACTTTCCCTTCTGTACCTGAGGTGTTTGGCTCACCTCAGATGATCAGCCAAGCATCTAAATGTAAAGCTGGATGAACAGAAGTAGATACAATCTGTATACAGTTCTAAGAAACACAAGTGAAAATGCTGTAAGCTCTAAAGTAGGGGCGTCAAACTTGTGGCCCGCAAGCCAGATGCGTCACGTCCACCCCCGTTTTAGCGAAGGGGGGAAAGTTGTGATACATCATGTGATCACCATGTGATGACACAAATTTGACGCCCCTGTTCTAAAGTGAAGGAAAAGCAGGTGAAACCCATCCAGAGCCCTCAACCCTGACCTTCAAGAATGACCTCTTAGGAATAAAAGAAGCTTCTCTACATCTGTATGTATAGAATGCCAAGCATAACCCTTTGGATGCCAAAATATTTATGTTAATTTTCCCTACTAAAAACCACAGACTAATTACAAAAAAGATGATTTTGCACTTAAAATCGAATTTAAAGATATAAGACAATAAAACTCAAACTCAACCAAAATTTAAACCCCTCAGAAAGGGCCCGCAACTTGGGAGTCCTCCTGGATTCACAGCTAACTTTTGACCACCANCAGCCTGAAGATGGCAAATGAGACCTTGCTGAAACGTTGCCAAGACAATCTCAATCTTATATATATATGAAATCATGGAGTAATAATTGACTGGATCAGGCCAATTAGAGGACCTTTTTTGTCTTATTGTAGCACAACACTTCCTCTTCAAAAAGAACTTTAAGAAATCAGTTGTCTTATCTATTCAGCAACATTTGTTAGGACTACTTCATATTCAAAAACAGCACCAGTCTGAGATCAGTACCGCTAATATTGTGGAGCTTTAAGCAATTAATTTCTGAAGTTATTTGATTCTGTTGCTCTGGAGGAAACACATTAGAGGCAGCTTTGATAGTTTTCCTTTATAGTTATTTTGGCGTTATTTTCTTAGTGTAAAATTTTGTCTCCTTCTGAAGCAATGTAATTATTTTCTGGATGCCTTGGGGAGTGCTTTTTGCTCTGATCCCATAAAGTGGACACTTATTTATTTGTACTTCATTCCACCTTGCTTTGAAAAAACAAAAGCAGCAAGCAAAGTATAAAGAAAAGTGGAAAGCTTCTATGGTTTATAATGCTGTCATATTGGCTAAATAGAAGGTGTGCTGCCTGGCGCAAGGGAAGAAAAAGCAAAAACACAGACTTTTACAAAAAATCTGGTGGCAGTGAAGCAAAGCCAAGGGCATTATGTATGTGGCCACAGATCAGCAATTGATTCTTTTATAACTATCATTTTTGCTACTTATGGCCATTTCTTCTATATGCATTCACGCATTCTGCATGGATCATAACATTTGTTTTAGTAATAGTTTGATTTGGGGGGGGGCTTTCTAAGTTTGAATACAGTGAAGTATTTCTTTCTCTGCTTATAAGCAATTGGTTTCACCATTTGCAAACACCTTACATATTTAATTGCTCTTATATTTAGATTTGCTTCAATCTATTCAGTAGTTGGAGAAGAAAAATATATCAAGTTTAGTTTTAAAATAAGTTAGTGATTTTTTTTTCCATCAGCATTTCAGAACTGCAGATAAAATGACTTCCTGTCTCTCAGTTTCCTGTATCCATGGTAATTTGATTTCAGCCAGTCATTGTAGAGGAGCCGATGGGAAGAATATTTCCTGTAGGAACAATTGCAGGACTGGTAGGCAAAGTGAGAAATTTCAACAGAAGGAAAATAGTTAACTGACAAAATGAGCTTCATATTCTGGGTGAGAATTTTAATATATTTTAAACATAGAATACTAGAAATGTTGTTATGAAGGATGAGTCATTAAAGTCATTAAAGAATATAATTTATAACCTAAAACATAACTTATCTGACAATTTTGTAACAACTTTTATATTCTGTTTAAATAATGCAAGCATTTAATTTTATCATTAACCATCTTTAAATATGGTAAATGTAAATTTAATTTAAACTATAAATGGAATAAAGTATAATAAATTTGGTAGTCCTTGACTTACAACAGTTCGTTTAGTAACTGTTCAAGTTAAAATAGCATTGAAAAAGGGACTTCATTGTCCCAGGGTCATGTGGTCCCCTTTTGTGACTTTCTAACAAGCAAGGTCAATGGGAAGTTAGATTCCCTTAACAACCAAGTTACTAACAATAACTGCAGTGATTCACATAACAAATGGGGCAAAACTCACGTAACAAATGGCTCACTTAGCAAGAGAAATTTAGGGTTCAATTGTGGTCGTAAATTGAGGACTCCCTGTAGCACTTCTAAATAATTGTACGAGTAATAATGATAAAAATAATGAGCTATGAAAATTTTGAATAAGCATTTTTTAAACTTTTTTTCCTGATAGCGCAGTCAAAGATGACTTGGAGAGTCAAAGCCTGGGATATGTATCAACTTCATCACTTTGAGTCATTTTGGCATATTTTTATTTGTCTTCTGCTGATGATAATCCAAAAGGATATATTTTGTTGTCCATCAGTTTGCCATCAGTGTAGAGGCAGACAAGTTGACTGTCGTAATTCAAGTCTTTCTTTTATTCCAAACAATTTTTCACAGAATACTTCATTTTTGTACTTAAGTGGCAACAATATATCACACATAAATCCCAATGCACTGATAAGCCTCCAGCAGCTTGTTGTACTACACTTGGACAATTCTGGCATTGTATATGTATATCCAAATATCTTCGCTGAATTGAAAAAATTATGGTATCTACAGCTGAATAATAATTATATAAAATATTTGTATCCTGGAACATTTGAAGGACTTTCAAATCTTCATTCTTTATATCTTCAGAATAATGAAATTGACTTTGTTTCCGAAGGATTATTTGGTAACCTCACTTCCGTTCATTATCTAATGCTGCAAAACAATCACCTCAGGATCCTTGGTAGCCGCATTTTCTTTGGCATGATTAATCTTCGAATTCTGAACCTAGCAAATAATAAGATTTCACAAATATCAGACAGAGCATTCCAGGACCTTGATAATCTTACAGACTTGCACCTTGAAGGAAATAATTTAACATGTGTGCCATCCACAGCATTTCTACTACTGGGGAAACTTCAAAAACTTTCATTGTCACGAAACCCTATTGTGTCAATTCCTCCTTTTGCATTTAAAGGACTTAGCAAGCTTGAATATCTATTTTTAAAAGGTGCAAAAATAAACACTATTAGTCCAAATGGATTTTCAGGGCTAGTCAATCTTAAAAGGTTAGTTTTAAGTGATAATAATTTAGTAAACATCAATTCCCATACTTTCTCATTGTTGGATCATATGAAGTTTTTGCATCTTGACAGAAACAAAATAATTGATATTTCAGGTAATACTTTTGGAGGAATAGGATCATCTTTGAAAATACTTGATCTATCTTTCAATAATCTTACATTTTTACAGCCTATAGTACTCAAGCCTTTGATTTCTTTAACTCATTTACAGGCAAATTACAATCCTTGGGATTGTAGCTGCAAATTACAGAGATTGATGAATTGGCTAGCGGCTTTTTCTATCTCTGTGAAACTCCTTTGCCAAAGTCCTTCCAGTCTGCATGGAAGATATATGAATTATGCTAGTTTGCATTTGTTCAAAAATTGTTTCAACAGTACAAGCCTTGAAATTTTCAAGAACAGTAAATCTGCAGGAATCCAGCAGAGTTTTACTACTTCATTAATGGCACAGAATATGTACCTCACAAGGAATACAGTTCAAGAACAGTTGAACTTCAATTCAAATGCAGTTACATCATTGGTAAAAGCATCTTATACATCTGCTTATCAAAATCTCAATGAAGAAAATTCTAATAGGAAGTCAAAACAAGAACAAATAGCAACACACAAGCTACCTGTTCATTTTACCATGGAAGAAAATAAAGTACCATCTCCGGAAGCTGTTTCTGTATCATTTAAAACATCACTAATTTGTTCACAGCAGGTAGAGAAACTAAAGCAGGCTTTTGACATTTTATTAATCTTTTTCATTTTGGCCTGTGCTATGATCTTCTTTTTGTTATACAAAATTATTAAATTGAAACAGAAGTACAATATGCAAAAGAACTCTGACAATGCAATAGAATACTATGGCTTTTATCAGGCTGGTAGTTACAATGTTACCGTATCTCAGAACCCGCTGGGAAGTTCTGAATTGAATCATGTTGAACTTTCTAAATCAACGGCCCTTGAAAACCAAGCACAGGTTATCTTATTTGAACATTCAGCACTGTAATACATTCATCACATTTTTTTCTTTTCATGTGTATAGAAGGCACCAGTAGATGAGTTTTGTAAATGCAAGTTTAGCTACTGATGTTACGCTGGGAGGTTGAAATGCAGCTAATATTTTTTCAACCTTTACCTTTTGTTCTAATTTTAATATCTGCATTTTATTGATTGTAACTATGTTTTATCTATAATTACTCAATTTTAATTGATCTGCCTATAGCAATTATTAATCATTAATGTTATTTTATATTTAGCATTCTGCATAAATTTTATATTGGATAGATTTTTTAACTGTTCGTTACTATTGATAAATTCCTAGAAAGAATTTCTGTTATTTCATATTACCAGCTATTTTGGATACCATCATAAAGCTCTGCAATATTTGTTAGATAAGATAGCTTTTATTATGAAATTATTGCATAAAAATTACATTATCTGGAATAAACAATATTCACTAGAAAAATTATTTATTCTGGTTTCAATCTTCATTTCCCTCTGATAGAAGTTCCAAAGGAAGCACTTTGCATATTGGAGGTTTTTGTTTGTTTTTAATAGTCCATAGCACTTCTGCTAGAGGAGGCAGCAGCTGATTTTATCAACTTCCTCCCATGTAATTTTTGTTGCCCTATGAAAAAGTTGGTAGAGGCCAAATTGTATAGGTATAGGTATAGTGTATGTCGGCTCCTTGGTGCTCTCTGAGTTTAGTTGTTTTCTTGCAGACATTTTATTACTCAACTAAGTAACAACTTCAGTGCTAAAGGAGGGGGTGCTATTTGTTTGTATACAAGTGGCTTGCCCTATCGTGGTGTAGGAGTGTACAGTATGGTATCTAAACTGTAGAAAACAGAAGGAATAAGAGAAAAGAGATTTAGTTTGAATTTCAGTTTCTTTCAAAGCATATCCTTAGACTCAAAGAAGGAAAAAATCTTGATGTGGTACATGGAGTAATTATAATCTTCCAGGAACTCTACTTAAAAAAAAAACAGCAATATGTATACATCTACTAATGGTGCAAAGCAAGCATTGTTTTTATATACTAGAGTGCCTTACGGCCCTATATACTGGTAGTTCTAGTTCAGAGGTGGTATTCAGCAGGTTCTGACCTGTTTTGGAGAACTGGTAGCAGAAATTTTGAGTAGTTCACAGAACCTGCAAATACAACCTCTGACTGACCCCACCTCCATCTATTCTCTGCCTCCCGAGTCTCAGCTGATTGGAGGGAATGGTGATTTTGCAGTAACCTTCTCCTGGAGTTGGGTGGGAATGTAGATTTTACAGTATCCCCTGCCATGCCCACCAAGCCATGCCCACAGAACCAGTAGCAAAAACGTTTGCATCCCACCACTGTTCTAGTTATGAATTTTTAGAAAATAAAAATGATCCATGTTGCATTTCATTGATTTAAAAGTGTGCTCCTATTATTCCAAGAAGAAAAAAAATAATTGGAAAGGGAAAGTACATCCAGGAGTCATAGAGAGATGGTGAATAACTGCCTAATTCTGGTAGATTTCTGTTGTTGAGTTACACTGATTTGAATTTTAATATTCCTGAGTATTGTCCTGCTGTCAAAATGAAATATATATTTGAGGCTTGCAAAGTCCTTAGCTTTATGGATTACATAGGGAAGAGTTGAGCAGGATCACTGGTTAAACAAAAACATGTTATTAAACATACGTATGCCAATGTGACTGGATTGTCAGGATCAATCCAGGAGGAGGGCCTTCTCAGTAGTAGCCCCGACCCTTTGGAACGA